CCCCTCCTCCCCTTTTTTCCCTTTCCCTATTGTGTGTATTCTTCCTTCTTTTGAATAGATGAGGTATTCAAAGGTCATTTGTTCCCTCCCACCTCCTTCTCTCTTGCATACCTACTTGTGTATCCTGATTATGTAATTATCCCTATCCTTCCTTTGCCTCCTTCCCTCTCCCCAGTGTATTGCTTTTTCTCTCACCATTCTTAAGATCAAGACATAACAGAACCACTCCTAGGCCTTTATTAATCAGACTCCCTCTGTGACCCCTGATGAGAAGGGTTCAGAGAGGGCACACCTACCATCTCCCCATATTTGAATGTAAGCAGTTTATCCTTTAGACCTTTATGACTGTTCATTACTATTTGCCTTTTACTATGTTTCTCTTGCCCCTTATGTTTGAATTTCAGAGTTTCTATTCAGCTCTGGCCTTTTCATCAGGAATGCTTGGAAATCCTGTTTCATTAAAGATCCATTTTTCTCCCAGTAACATTATACTGAGTTTTGCTGGTAAGTTATTCTTGACTGTAAGTCTATATATCCTTTGCCTTTTGGAATTTCATATTCCAAGTTCTCCGTTCCTTTATTGTGTTGGCTGCTTAAACCATTTATGATCCTGACTGTGGCTCTTTGGTGTTCGAATTCTGCCTTTCTGGCTGCTTATGGTATTTTTTCTATGACATAAAAGCTCTGGATTTTGGTTCTGATGTTCCTGGTAGTTTTCATTTCATAAAATGTTATTAGACTTGGTGCCTATCGGCCAGCCAAGAAGGTCTGCTGGTTCAGAACAACAAAACCAGTAGGTTCTGGTTATTTCTCTGCAGGCTGGGCTAGATACTGGAACTGAGATTGCACTTTGCTCCTATGGGCAGAGCCAAAGTGCTGCTGCTTGCTTCTGAACTTCCTCCTTTCTCCATACATTGCCAAGAGCCATCCTATCCAGGAATGACACGCTGTGCAGGCTCTTCTCAGTTTTGCTGGCACTGAGAAGTGGGTAGTGAGTGACAGAGTTCAAGTTGGCACTTGTCCCTGTTGCAGTGCCCCAGTGTGGACCTGGAGGTGCCTCATATGGATCTGAGACTTCTTCTTGCCCTGGTGCGCAGGCTTTCCATGAGCACCAGAGTGCTCTACATGCTTAGTGTGTTCTGTTCTAACCCAGTCCTCGGTGTCAGCAGATCCATCTCCCAAGGCTGAGCTGGGCTGAGCAAAGAAATCACTGTGACTTTTTGTAGATTTCCCCATCAGGATTCAGTGCATATTTAGGTTTGGTTGGAGAAGTTTTGTGGATAGGTGCTTGACTATGTTGCTTGCTACTCTACCATCTTCAGCAGCATTTTAGGAAGATATATTCATTTGAAGAAATTCAGGAATCAGAGGGGAAAAACATGATGGAGTATTTGAGTGAAGGTCAAAGAAGAAGAAGAACTGATTTTCACTGGAATATGTCATAGATCATCTAATTCAGCCAGGTTCTTTTTTTTTTTTTGGGTGAGGCAATCTGGGGTTAAGTGACTTGCCCAGGGTCACACAGCTAGTAAATGTCAGTCAGGTGTCTGAGGCTGGATTTGAACTGAGGTCCTCCTGACTCCAAGGCAGGAGCTCTGTCCACTGCACCACCTAGCTGTCCCTGTCATAGACAATCTAGACAGAAATGAAATAGATGACTTCGGGGAATATCACAAACCTAGCGTAGAGATATGCTCTAGTATTGAGGAGGGACTTCAATTATTCAGACATCTCCTGGAGCTTTCAAGAAAATTACTAATAACTTCTTGATTTGTCCTTATGATAATTTCATCCCTTAAAAGGTGGTGGAACCAATAAGGGAAACTCATTCTGGATTTGATTCTCTCTAAAAAGGAGGAACTGGTTTTTGAGAGGGATAGATGGGAAGCTTGGAAATATGTGGCCATTCCATCCAAGATTTTGTGACAGGAGAGGAAATCTGGGCAGAGTCTGGACCAAATTTTGGGAAAGCAGATTTCAAAGCATACAGAGCAGTGATTGGCAGGATCCTCGTGGATAAAAATACTTCAGCCCTTGGAAGAAGAATGAAATTCTGAAGACCCAAAGGGAAACAGTTAAAATGAAAAAGAAAAAAAATGGGATTTATCTGAAAAATTCAATGTAGATGCACAAGGAGTTCCTACCAATCAACTTGGATTCACTCATGTATTTGGATATTCAAAAGATGGAAGGGCACGTAACATAAATAAGATCAATACGAGAGCATGACATAAAGAATGTGAAAGTGCAGAATAAGCCGAGATTGTCAAGGTGAACTAAGGACATTAAGAAAGTCTACCTAAATTGTAAGGAGGATCAAGAAGGATAAGATCTTGCCTTGGGATAGATGGGATCACTACTGAGAAAGGGCAGAGCTGCTCAATTCTTTTGTTGCTCCACTGAGAAGGGTCTTGACAAAGGAAAAAGACAGAGCAAGAGAATGAACAACAGGGAGTCAAGGCCCTTCACATAAGGAGTTGTTAAAGGGGCACCTAGTTGTCCTAGAATGAATTAGAGCACCTGGCCCAGATGAATTACAGCTTGCTTGTAAAGAATGATCACTAAGTCATTATCAGCCATTATTTGAAAGATCATGGGTAAGGCACCTCAGCACTGGAGAAGCATAAACATTGTCTCCGATTTCAAATGGAAGCCAGGCAACACCCCAAAATAAATTATTTGGAGATAGTTGGTGAGTATATCTAGAAAGAAAAGGGTTGATTAAAAAGATCCATCATGGCTTCATTAGATCATCCCAAACTGATCTTTTTTTTTTTTCCACAGGATTACTAAGTATATGAGAATGCTTTGGAAATAGTTTACCTGAATTTTAGCAAAACTCTTAATAAAGTGTCATACTATTCTTGTGGAGAGCTGTGGATTAGGAAATGGTTGGATTACTAATCAGAGCAGTTAATTGGCAAAGTGACAGGTCTTCAGCATACTATCCCAGGGATATGAGCCTATTCTGTTTGACATTTTAACAATGACTTTTAGATATGCTTATCAATTTTGCATATTACATAAAACTGGGAGAGCTACAGGATCCAAAAGAATTTTGACAGTCTAGATTTAGGGGTTCTTCCCTAAATCTTGACACTTTGTGTCACAGACTTCTTCGGGCATCTGGTGAAACCTGTGGCCACTTCAGTATAATGTTTGTTGCCTACATTTGTATTGAAGGAAATGCTAAATTTCAGCTAATGGTTAGTGAAAACAAAAATGTGTTTCTTTTCCCACTGAGGTTCACAGATCCTCAGAAATCTACAGACCCCCAGCTTAAGAATCTCTGGGCTGAAGCACTGGGCTGTATCTAATAAACGATTCAACAGGGATGTAAGGGCTTACACTTAGGTACAATAAATTGAACTTTATAAGTGTAATATGCAGAGTCATGGATAGCACTTGTTATTAAGATTTGGAGGTTTTAGTGGAATGCAAGCTGCTGCCAAAAACACCTAATGCAATCTTAGTCACAAAAGAAAGGGCAGAGTTCCCAGCATTCTGTTCTGATAAAACCTAATCTGGAGTATTGTGTTCAGATCTTGGTACCGTACATAGTTTAAGGGTATTGAAAAGGGAGACATGAAAGTTGTACTTCGTTATTTGAAGGGTTATGACATGGAAGAGGAATTACACTTCTGGTTGGCTCGAGGGGGCAGAATCAGTAGCAGTGGATGGATGCTGCAAAAAAAGCAACTTTAGTTGATGTCAGGAATAACTTCCTGACTATAGCTGTCCAAAAGTGAAATGAGCTTCCTCCGGGTAGTGGGTAGCCTCCAACAGAAGTCTTCAAGCAAAACTTGTTATATAGCAGAAGGATTCTTGGTCAAGTATGAATTGGACTAGATGGCCTCTGAGTGCCCTTTCAACAAATTTTGTACGGTAGTAATTAAAACAAGCTACCTTTAGAAGTAGTGGTGCCTTGGAAATTTTCTTGTCTAAAAGATCACTTGTTGGGTATGTTATATTGGACATAACCTCTTGTTATAGGTTGGAACCGATGGCCACTGAGATGACTCAGTAAATCTATAAACATTTCCTGAGCACCTATTATGTGCCAGGCACTGTGCTAAGCTCTGGGAATACAAAGAAAGGTAAAAGCCATTTCCGTTTTAAGGAGCTGACTCTAATGGAGAAGACAACATGCAAACAAATACAAACAGTCAACATACAGGATGATAATCAACAGAAAAAAGGGCACCAGAAATAAGAGGAACAAAAAAGACCTTCAGTAGAAGGTGGGATTTTAGCTTGGCCTGTAAGGAAGTTAGGGAAGCCAAGAGACAGATAAGAAGGGAGAACAGTCGTGTCAAGAATAGCAAGGAGCCCAATATCACCGGATTATAAAGGGGGAGGAGGACGGGGATGGGGAAGGAGTTGGAAGGTGTCCTAGTACAAGCCTTTTATTTTATAAGAAAACGATGGAATTCGAACTCGGGCCCACTGACTCCAAAAGCAGAACTTTCGCCAGGGCACCATGCTGCCTCTCAGCGAAGCAACGTGCCCGAGGAGGGAATGGCACTGGGCTCCCGTGCCCCCGGGGAGAATTCTAGCCCCGAGCCAACCACTCGCGTAACTTCCCCGCAGCCGGGTATGTAAAAATGAAAAGGTTGGGGCCCGTTCCACGATCTGTAAGGGCCTCTTTCAGCCGTTTAATTACGAGAGGACGCACCCCCCCCCCCCCAGACTGGAAAGCGACTTCTGAGGCCGTCCACCTGAATTTTTTTTTTTTAAACAAAGGTGAGCAGTGACGGGGCAGCTCAAGGTGGGAGGGCGCGGGGGGGCTCCTCTTTGGCCCTGTTAAGGTGATCCTCTTGAAGGAAGACGCTGAAAAGTCGGCTCAGGGGTTCCCGCCGTCTGCTCCAAGTGAGGCAGGGAGGCCCACAAGAGAACGTGGGACCGAGAGCGGCCTCCGCCTGCGTTCCTGCAGGTACTATGGCCCGCACCAGAAGTGACGACATATAAAGCGCCCGAGAGGTTCCCGGGAACCGGAAGCTACGGTGGCCGAGAGATACCTTTGGAAACAAAACAAGCGACTCCTGTAGGGCGAGACTCGGAAACTGATTTAGCCGGGCGCTCGCTGGAAGGAAGAGTAGGTAGGAGGACGGGGGGAGCGGGGCTGGAAGTCTGAGGGAATGCAGGCAGTGGCGAGGCCCCTCCGGCGTCGAGGCCAGCCCCCGTAGCCGCGGCGAGGACCCGGGACGGCAGTCGTGGCCCTGGCCCCCCGCCGCCTCCTCGGAAGCGGTGCCGGGTCCCTGGGGCTGGTGGGGCGGAGAGGTCAGAGTCTCGTTCCTGGGCTGGGGGCAGGTGCCAGAGGCACGGGCAGCGGGGGCGGCGGTTCTGCTGTCTGGGGGACGCGAGGGGCCCCCGGGGCTGCGAGGAAGCCGCCGGCAGTTTGTGGAAAACAAACTAACCTCGGGAGTATCTCAGCGTGGGGCGAACAGCCGCCGACCCTCCCGGGATGGGTCCGGCGAGCTCGGCCGGTCCCTCTGGCCGTGGGCGAGTTCAGTGGGCGCCCTCGTGCACGGCTGCCCTCTCTGTCCCCCTCGCGTGTCCTCGTGGCCCCTCGCTTCCCGCCCTCGCTGACCGTCGTGGCTAGTACGGCCACCCAACCAGGAAATCCAGCTTTCTCGCTAGTGGTTTGACTGAGTCACCGGGAACGTGTGGGCATTGAAGTTTGACTTGTGGTGCGCTCCGCCCGGACTCTGTCCTCGCCACGTCCTCGGGCGTTTTAGAAAACAAGCGTATTTAGCTTTCGTGTTCAGGAAGAGCAGTGCTGGCAACAGAGCACATAGATAATGCTTCCGTGGGGGGACCTTTGTGGTGTAACTTTAATGGATGTTTTCAGAAGCATGAAGTTGGTTGGGTTTTTTTTGGAGGGGGGTTCTGTGCATTTGTTTCATATGAACTTAGAAAAGGCATAGACAAAACATGTTTTTGTTTTTTCTGTCAAGAAATTGTTGGTGGTTAAATAACAATAGCTGGTATTTACAAAGCACCTTAAGGTTTGAAAAGGTTACAAATATTACCTCATTTTATCCTCACCACAGCCTTGGGAGGCAGGTGAAACTGAGGCAGATGAAGTTAAGTGACTTGTTAAGAGTCACACAAACAGTAAGTGTCTGAGGTCAGATTTGAGCTGGAGTCTTTAGGACTCCAGATCCAACCGCTTTATCCACTGCACTACCTAGTTGCCTCTTGTTTATTCCTAAATTGTACCTTCAATAGCAGGGATCGTTTCTTACATATCTGTGTGTTTCTTACAACAGCTCTTGGCACGGTGCCTTAGGTAGATGCTTAATAAATTGAACCTAAGTCAAGGAAAAGAAAATTAGAGAAAAGGTTTTTGTAGGCATCAGTCATTTATCTTAGTCCCTTTTTTGTGGCAGCCCTTATAGATGTTTAGTCATCTCACTCTTTGTGACCCCATTGGCAGAGATCCTGAAGTGGTTTGACATTTCCTTCTAACCAGCTCATTTTACAGATAAGGAGACTGAGACAAACAGGGTTAAGTGAATTGCCCAGGATCATAAAGCTAGTAAGGTCTGAGGCCAGACTTGAACTGGAGAAGGATGAGTCTTCTGAGTCCAGGCGTGGCACCACCTGCTTGTATTACAGATATATTTAGTTCTTTAGGAAAGTGGAATGAGACTATTTAAAAGTAAACCAGGAAATGTACAGTGAACAAAAAATGGTAAAGTTCCCACTCACTTAATTTTTGGCTACTAGTGGTTACCTAAAAGGCAATTTAAATTCAAAATAAGACCTAGAAAATAGGGTAGTTTAAAAAAAAAAAAAAGGAAACTCGGTGACTTCAATGCTAGCTTTGTAGACACAGCAGAGTTAGCAAATCCTTCCCCAATTTCTCAGAAAGAGAAACAAATTTGGCTTGATTAATGTCATAGAAAATCAGAAGTGAAAGAATCCAGAATGCAGTTTTGTGCATTTCTGTACTAAATTATGCTATTTCTGAATTTTCCATTCTATGAGCTTTGTTTCAGGCAAGTAATTGATTAGGGTTTATTAAGTCTTTTGGATTTTGGAGTTTTGGTTTTTTTTCTTAAGCTTACAAGCAAAATGTTTGTAAGATATCTATTAAAGTCACCATTGTATATTACCCAAGTCAATTGTATAATTTGTTTTAAATGCTGATCTTGTCTCATTGTTAGTAAAGCCCGAATAAAGAGGCAGTCAAACATGGTGCATAGAGGGCTGGCTTTGGCAAGGAAAACTGGAGCTCTTCAGTACACATTGGGTTTAAAAAAAAAAAGCAGCTTCACAAATATAAGATGAGAGGGGCAATGCTAGACAGAGTTCATATGAAAAAAGATGGTAAACATGTATTTCATGAGCAGTATTTCTCAGCAGTGGGACATGGTAACTGAGAGACAGTTAATGCTATTTTAGACCACATTAAATAGAAATATAGGTCCAGAACAGGAGAAGTGGGTTGGATTTCCTTTGTGAAATTGCACAGGTCTTTAAATGACTCCAAACTTCTGCTGGAAACAGAGACCTTTTTAACACCAGTTTTTTTCTAGCGATGTTGTATTGATGCAAGTCATGGAATATTATGTAATCCCTGGAGATTGAAATTTGAGAATAGCCCAAAGGACAATGGAAAATGGCATGAACAGATTTCAATACACTTAAAATGAGGATATTATACAGGAAAAGCTGTGTATAGGATGCCATTAGGGACTGAAAAAGATGGGTTGGTGTTATAAAGATGACCCCAGCCTCAGTTCCAAAGACTGGTGTCTCAAAAGACTTTTTATTAAAGAGCTTGAAGTGAGTCGTTTTGATTCTTGTGAGAAGCAGGTGCACCTCTTTGGAAGTGGAGAATGGAGAGCAGTAAAAGAAGCCAAAGCAAGCTTTATAGTTAGTAATTGACTAACTCCTCCCTTCTGGATCAGGATTGGTCTTAATCCTTCTGCGTTACAATCTTTCTTATATGCCCCACCCCTAACATACATTATGTGCCTAGAATTGTGGTATCACTCCACCTCTCTGGACAGAGAAGTTAGCCTGTCTGTGCTGATTGCTTACCTTTACTCATGTGGAAACTTAACTCTTTCATTTCTCACAGTGGTCACATAATGGGCTCCATTGGTATCCAAGAAATATAAAGATAACTTAGGTGCTCTCCAGTACATTAAGTGGATACACTGTGGCAGATTTAAACTTCCAATAAAAATTGCACCAGCTGAGCAAACATGAATAAAGGAAGCTAGTTGGTGGAGTGGATAGAGTGCTGAGCCCCTACTCAGGAAGACCTGAGTTTAAATCCAGCCTCAGACACCTACTAGCTAAGTATAACATTGGGCAAATCACTTAGCCTCTGATTGCCACAGTTTCCTCAACTATAAAATGGGGGTATTAATAGCATCTATGTCCCAGGCTTGTGAAGATAAACTGGCACATGAGATGCTATATAAAGGCTATTTATTGTTACTGTTATTACGTTGTAAATATGCCTTGTTGAAGGATACCTTCATCATCATCTAGATTCTAAACCCTTTAGAGTATAATGTCCAGAACAAAGAAGGTGGTAATCTTTCAATATTCTGCCCTGGTCAGACCACTTCTGAGGTATGTTCAGGTTTAGACTCCACATTTAGGAAAGATATTGACAAGCTGGTGAGGCAGCCAGAAACTATGCCATACACGGATCATTTGTAACTAGGCAATATTTAGCTTGGAGAAGAGATTTGTCAAGGTGGGAAAAGATCATGATAGCTGACTTCAAATATTTGAAGGGTGGCCTATTAAAGAGGTACTAGATTTATTTGATTTGGCCCCAGAGGGCAGAGTTAGGAGCAGGAACAGGAAGCAATAGGGGCTGATTTCAGTTGAACATAAGGAAAAGCTTCCTAACAGTTAAGAGTTGTCCAAAAGTGTAAGGTAATGAATTCCCTATCACTAGAGGTATTTCAAGTGGAGACTGGATGATCACTTGTGGGGGATGTTATGGAGATGATTCCTGTTCCGATTGGATAGACTGAACTAGATGACCTCTGAGGTCTCTTCTAAGTGTAAGATTTTTTTGGTTGAGGCAGCTAGGTGGTAGTGTTGGTTTGAAGTAAGAACACCTGGGGTCAAATCTTGCCTCAGACACTCACATTTACTTAATTTTACTCATTCCCAATTTCCTCATCTGTAAAATGGGGATGATAATAGCACCTATTTCATAGGGTGGTTGTGAGGCTCAAATGAAATAATATTAGTAGAACTAACCCCTCAACTTGTCCAAGCAATTCTGTTCCATCCTATCTCCTTAAACAGAGTAGCCCCTCTGTCATCTCCTCTCTTTCACTTATTTTTACTTTCTCCCTGTCCATTAACTCATTTCCTACTGCTTATACATATCCCCGTATCTCCTCTATTCTGAAAAAATTCTCACTTGATACTTCTGTCTCCGCTAACTATCATCTCACATCTCTTTTTCCCTTTTGTAGGTAAACTCTTGGAAAAAGCCATCTACATTAGGCACCTCCACTTTCTTTCCTTTCACTGTTTCTCACTCCTCTTATCCATTATTATGGACCTGTTGTTTTCACCTCTGCTACATTTCTTGAATATGCCCACTTCTCTCTTCTGAGGCTGCTACCACTCTGGTGCAGACCCTCATCACCTCATGGCTGGATCATTGCAATAGCCTGCTGGTGAGTCTGCCCACCTCAAGTCTTTCCCCATTTCAATTCATCCTCCATTCAGCCACTAAAGTGATTTGCTTAAAGCAAAGGTCACACCATGTAAGCCCACCCTCCCCTCCACTCAACAAACTCCAGTGTCTTCCAGGAGCAAATACAAAATGCTCTGGTATTTAGAGCCTTTCATAACCTAGCCCTCTGCAGCCATTCCTGTCTTCTTACACCTTACATCTCAACACATGTTTGTTCTACCAAGACACTCTATCTCTGGGCTCCGTGCACTTTCTCTTGCTGCCTCCCATGCCCTGAGCATTCTCCCTCCTCTGCTCTTGACTGCTGACCTCCCTGGCCTTCTTTAAAGTCCAAGAAAAATCTCACCTTCTACAAGAAGCCTTCCCCAACCCCTCAACTACAGTGTTTTCCCTCTGTTAATTACTTCCTCC